AGAGAGAGAGAGAGAGAGATTGTTTTTCTTAGAAATAAATCCCCGCGAGGAGAGTTTTCCTTTCATTAATTAGATCGAGCACTTATGTAACCCACACGATTCCAGCGCAGATGCTTGTGATTATTTTGTATAAGGCCCGATTTATTTATTTTAATTTTGTATATAATGATTGTGATTCTAAAGTTGGTACAAATAACTGAATAAAAGTATATAGAGAAATGAATACGATGTTTCTTAAGTTGTTTCAAGCTGATTTAACGCTGATCGAAAGGAAGGACGTTTCCTTTTTAACGAGAATCACTCAGGCTGAACGTTTGGGTTACAGACGGCAATTGCAAGGGTGTAAAAAAGAATATATTTAACACACAGCAGAACCATTACTGTTATTATTATTATTATTATTATTATTATTATCATTATTATTATTATTATTATTATTATTAAAGTAAGTTAAGCAGAATGGAAGGAATCGTCAGGAATTTTTGACACGCATATTTTACGCTTTCTACCAACGTCGATCGCTTGACGACACATTGAAAGAAGTTGCCTTTCCTCCGGAGCAACCCCCGCGGAGAAGGAGCTGGCGCGCCACGTGGTACCAGTTACTCGGAACTTTTGTAAGAACAGCCGGCGCGCCGGCGTGAAGCGAACCACTCCTTTTTATACCCGTATATACACTTTAAGGAACATTAATCGAGCTAAATGACATGGAAGAAAGAAATAGAACGAAAGAGAGAGAGAGAGAGGAGAGGGACGAGAGGAAGCATGTGGACAAAACAGAGCAGATAGCTTTAGCGGTATATTGCGTGCTTGATGAACGTTGATTTGATTGAACGCCGCGCGCTTCGATTGATACGCGAACTATCTGACGGGATTTATCACCCGCGTTCGATCCACATCGCGATGGAACGATACGAATGTCGCACGACTGCGATGTCGGTCGACTGGAAAATCGAAATTCCCTTGCTTTTTTTTTTTTTTTTTGGTAAAAAAAAAAAGGGTCGAGTGCAATTGTCTTGGAGGTACTTGTAAACGAGACTTGTAAGGATCGGTTGATGCGCGATCGCGAGAGTGAGAGAAGGAGGTTTAAGGATGGTGTGTTCTTAACGACGACAAGACTCTATACTTTCGTTTCTTCTTTCTCGATATTTTCCCGATACCGAAGTATACCCTGTGTTGTACGTACGTTTTTTGTAAATATTGTAACAAACGGACAGAAAGGCAGAATGCAAAACGACGGATTGGGAAACGAAGGATGGTCGATTTTAATAATAATAAACGCACTATTTATGACGATGAGGGGAGAACGTGATTTTTCGTTTTTGTTCGCGCACCGCACGCGTAACGCACGAAATCGAGGGGACAGAACGAGAGATAGAACGAAATGTAACGCGGGAAGACTCGCGAAAAAGAAAAAAAAGAAAAGGAAGGGAAAAATAATATATAGAGAACGGGAGAAGGTCCAGTCTTGCGAGCCCTGGGCTCCGCCGCGTTCCGTTTGATTTATCTGGTTAGCTGGTTTGGCCGACGAATAGAAACGAGAACCCTTTCGGCACCACTGTGTTTGCATCTTATCGATTTACGATTTCTTTTAAGTCATAACTTTTCTCCTTTTTTTTTTTCTTTTTTTTTCTTTCAGACCCGTTCAATGGTTGTTTCTCTCGCTATTTCCTGTCTTCTTTCTCTTTTTTTCTTCCTGTCTTCTTCCTTCTCTTTTTGTCTTTTTCTTTTTTCCTTTCTCTAGACTATCGCGAC